TTTGGCTGGGAGATGGTGACCTGTGAATGATGAGCCTACTGGGCCTGCCCCTTAAATTGTAGGTGAACGGCACACCCAGTTAGATGCTCTTTTTTTATTGTATGTATGTAGTTTAGGGCTTATTTTAGTTAATTTTTGGCTGGGAGATGGTGACCTGTGAATGATGAGCCTACTGGGCCTGCCCCTTAAACTGTAGGTGAACGGCACGCCCAGTCAAATGCTCTTTTTTTATTGTATGTATGTAGTTTAGGGCTTAGTTTAGTTAATTTTTGGCTGGGAGATGGTGACCTGTGAATGATGAGCCTACCGGGCCTGCCCCTTAAATTGTAGGTGAACGGCACGCCCAGTCAAATGCTCTCTTTTTTATAGTATGTATGAAATTGTATTTAGGTTAGGGCCTATTGTAGTTAATTTTGGCTGGGAGATGGTGACCTGTGAATGATAAGCCTACCGGGTCCTGCCCCTTAAACCGTAGGTGAACGGCACGGCACGCCCAGTCAAATGCTCTTTTTTATTGTATGTATGTACTGTAGACTAGGGCTTATTGTAGTTAATTTTGGCTGGGAGATGGTGACCTGTGAGTGATGAGCCTACCGGGTCCCTCCCCTTAAACTGTAGGTGAACGGCATGTTTAGTCAGATGCTCTTTTTTATTGTATGTACAGTGTATGTAGGTTAGGGCTTATTGATGTTAATTCCTAGTTGGGAGATTGTGGCTTGTGAATGAAGAGCCAACCAGGCCCAGACAACCGTTTTATTTCTTAATTTTTAAATGTTTGTACCTGTATGTAGATTAGGGCTTATTTTAGTTAATTTTTGGCTAGGAGATGCTCTTTTTTATTATATGTATGTAGGTTGGGGCTTATTGTAGTTAATTTTTGGCTGGGAGATGGTGACCTGTGAATGATGAGCCTAACTGGCCTGCCCCTTAAATTGTAGGTGAACGGCACGCCCAGTCAAATGCTCTTTTTTATTGTATGTATGAATGTATTTAGGTTAGGGCCTATTGTAGTTGATTTTTGGCTGGGAGATGGTGACCTGTAAATGATGAGCCTACCGGGCCGTGCCCCTTAAACCGTAGGTGAACGGCATGCCCAGCCAGATGCTCTTTTTTTATTGTATGTATGTAGGTTAGGACTTATTGTAGTTATTGTAGTTATCGTAGTTATTGTACTGTGACTGCAAGAATCCAAAGTGCTTGGAAAAAGTTTCGTGAACTCTTTCCTTTCCTCACCTCAAGGGCGACCCCGTTAAGAGTGAAAGGGAAGGTGTATGATGCCTGTGTTAGAAAATGCATGACGTATGGGAGCGAAACATGGGCAATGAAATCATCCAGTGAACAGCGAATGGAGAAAGCTGAGATGAGGATGGTGAGGTGGATACGCAGGGTATCACTTCATGAGAGAAAGAAGAACAAAGTCCTCCTTCAATCAATGGGATTGATGGGGGTGGCACAGGTTATGAGGATGAATAGACTTAGATGGTTTGGACATGTGGCAAGAAGAAAGGCAACACACTGGCTCCAGAGGGCTCTAAACTTCCCGGTCACCGGAAGAAGACCTCGTGGGAGACCCAGGAACACTTGGAGGGAAGCCATCGAAGAGGATGCCAAAACATCGGGTGTCGGTCGTGTGGATCCCACAGACAGGAAAGCTAGGCAGGCGGCCATTAAAGAAATGAAATGTCCAACCACACAAAGTGGGACAAATGGACTCTAAACGATGATGATGATGATGATGTAGTTGAGTTTTGGTTGGGAGATGGTGACCTGTGAATGATGAGCCTACCAGGCTGTGCCTGGTAGCCTAACGGCAGTGGAACGGCACGCCCAGTCAAATGCTCTTTTTTATTGTATGTATGTATGTAGGTAAGGGCTAAGTGAAGTTAATTTCTGGCTGGGAGATGGTGACCTGTGAATGATGAGCCTACCGGGCCTGCCCCTTAAATTGTAGGTGAACGGCACGCCCAGTCAAATGCTCTTTTTTTTATAGTATGTATGAATGTATTTAGGTTAGGGCCTATTGTAGTTAATTTTGGCTGGGAGATGGTGACCTGTGAATGATGAGCCTACTGGGCCTGCCCCTTAAATTGTAGGTGAACGGCACACCCAGTTAGATGCTCTTTTTTTATTGTATGTATGTAGTTTAGGGCTTATTTTAGTTAATTTTTGGCTGGGAGATGGTGACCTGTGAATGATGAGCCTACTGGGCCTGCCCCTTAAACTGTAGGTGAACGGCACGCCCAGTCAAATGCTCTTTTTTTATTGTATGTATGTAGTTTAGGGCTTAGTTTAGTTAATTTTTGGCTGGGAGATGGTGACCTGTGAATGATGAGCCTACCGGGCCTGCCCCTTAAATTGTAGGTGAACGGCACGCCCAGTCAAATGCTCTCTTTTTTATAGTATGTATGAAATTGTATTTAGGTTAGGGCCTATTGTAGTTAATTTTGGCTGGGAGATGGTGACCTGTGAATGATAAGCCTACCGGGTCCTGCCCCTTAAACCGTAGGTGAACGGCACGGCACGCCCAGTCAAATGCTCTTTTTTATTGTATGTATGTACTGTAGACTAGGGCTTATTGTAGTTAATTTTGGCTGGGAGATGGTGACCTGTGAGTGATGAGCCTACCGGGTCCCTCCCCTTAAACTGTAGGTGAACGGCATGTTTAGTCAGATGCTCTTTTTTATTGTATGTACAGTGTATGTAGGTTAGGGCTTATTGATGTTAATTCCTAGTTGGGAGATTGTGGCTTGTGAATGAAGAGCCAACCAGGCCCAGACAACCGTTTTATTTCTTAATTTTTAAATGTTTGTACCTGTACATGTATGTACAACATGTAGATTAGGGCTTATTTTAGTTAATTTTTGGCTAGGAGATGCTCTTTTTTATTATATGTATGTAGGTTGGGGCTTATTGTAGTTAATTTTTGGCTGGGAGATAGTGACCTGTGAATGATGAGCCTAACTGGCCTGCCCCTTAAATTGTAGGTGAACGGCATGCCCAGCCAGATGCTCTTTTTATGCCTCCGCCACCGAAGGTGGTGCCGGAGGCATCATGTTTTCGGGTTGTCCGTCCGACGTCCGTACGTCCCGTAACGTCCGTCCCGTTTGACCGTCATCACAATATCTCAAGAACCATTTAAGATTTAAACTTAAGACTCTGGAATAGTATTTATCACCATAGGAAGACGATCTGATTAGATTTTGGAGTATGTAGGTCAAAGGTCACAGGTCACAGAGGTCAACTTATGAAATTCCTTGTATTGAGTTTGTTAGCGCGATAGCTCAAGAACCATTTGAGATTTAAACTTCAAACTTAGTGATAGTGTGTATCACTATAGGAAAACAATCTGATTACATTTTGGAGTACGTAGGTCAAAGGTCAAGGGTCATAGAGGTCAACTAATGAAATTCCATACATTGGGATTGTTATCATGATATCTCAAGAACCACTGGAGATTTAAACTTCAAACTTAGTGATAGTGTGTATCACTATAGGAAAACAATCTGATTACATTTTGGAGCACGTAGGTCAAAGGTCAAGGGTCATAGAGGTCAACTTATGAAATTCCATACATTGAGATTGTTATCATGATATCTCAAGAACCACTGGAGATGTAAAAACTTCAAACTTAAGGATAGTATGTATCACCATAGGAAAACAATCTGATTACATTTTGGAGCACGTAGGTCAAAGGTCAAGGGTCATAGAGGTCAACTTATGAAATTCCATACATTGAGATTGTTATCATGATATCTCAAGAACCACTGGAGATGTAAAAACTTCAAACTTAAGGATAGTATGTATCACCATAGGAAGACGATCTGATTAGATTTTGGAGCACGTAGGTCAAAGGTCAAGGGTCACAGAGGTCAACTTATGAAATTCCATACATTGAGATTGTTATCATAATATCTCAAGAACCACTGGAGATTTAAACTTCAAACTTAATGATCGTGTGTATCACCATATGAAGACAATCTGATTAGATTTTGGAGCACGTAGGTCAAAGGTCAAGGGTCACAGAGGTCAACTTATGAAATTCCATACATTGAGATTGTTATCATGATATCTCAAGAACCACTGGAGATTTAAACTCCAAACTTGTTTAAATTGCTCTATGGCGGAGGCATCATTTTCGACTGCGCGCAGTCAAAATTCCATCTAGTTTTTTTTAGGCCTAAGTCAACTGCTTTCCATTCTGATCATTCCAAAACTTCAAAATACACATATATACATGTACATGTATGTACCTTTATAAATTACACAATCAGCCTCTTTGCATATATGAGTTGACTGTTTTATTCACAATGTAGTTGCACAACCAGTCCTCAATTTTATCTTTAAATTGGATCTAAATCAAGCACACAAAAAGGAAGAGAGAGAGAGAGAGAGAGCGTGGTGATAGATACATACATGTAAGAGACTCGATTGAAGGAAGACGAGAGTAAACTGAAACATTGGGGCCCATAATCTAAAACTCCCAAGTGACATCTCAATGACTACCGGTACACTCTCTGAATCTTTTTTTTAAAGCATGAAGCACACTTGTCTTCCCCTGCTTCATGAAATGAACAATCCGATCCTGAGCTTGGGGTATATCATGGAGATGACATGAAATGTGGTAGTTACATTAATTCCTTAAAAAAAACTTTGCAATTTTTTTTTCTTTTTTTTCTTTTAGGTTGCATGAACTTCTCTTTTTCCATCAAGAAATGTGACGAGCTGTTGTAAAATCTCTAGATTCGACCTGCTGGATATGATTTGATTTTGCATCTCACTCTAGTCTGAGCTATCTTCCCTGGCTTAGCCTTCTATGGGTCAAGACTTTCTTTTGTACAGGTGTATTTTCATATGTGAATGTCTGTTTGTACTCTAATTTTGGGATAGAGAAATTTAAGTGGGCGATCATTTATTACATAACACTTATGATATTGATCATATTTTCATTTAATAACTATTTGTATTATGGAAAAACTGCATTTGTTGTCATCCTTCAATAGACATTGAGGCACCCATTGCCATCTGCCCTGTGGACATCACTAGGAACACAGATTTAGGACAGGCCTATGCCACCATATCCTGGAGCAGCCCTCGAGGCACAGACAACTCGGGAACCATATCAAGCATCAACGCAGATCCCCGTGAAGGGCAGTTTGCGATTGGTAGTCATGTGATCACTGTGACGGTGGTTGATCCTGCAGGCCTGGAAGGCCAGTGCACCTTTGATATTGTGGTTCAAGGTACTTATACTGAGTTTACATCGTCAGTTTGGAGCCAGATGGGCATTACTGTCCTAGTTAAAGCCATTCTAGCTCCAGAAAAATGATATGAAGATAATGAAAAGCCATGTTTGAAACCTGAGGGGGGGGGGGGGGGGACTGAAAATAATGTAATTATCTTATATTTCAATAAACAGGATACATTCTATGACTGGTGAGATTTATTGGTTTATTTAATATAGTCTGTGTACATAAGAAAATGTCCTTCCTTTTTCTATTGGTACTTGCCGAGCATATACATGTATACTGGCAAATAATTTTCTAGTTACTTATCTTTACTCTTTAATCAGTTACATATTTCCAACAATTTTGCAATCTATTTTTTTTTCCAAGGCTATTCTTTATTTGAAAAACAACAACAAACAAACAAGAATATAATGAAAAAGTTATGCAAAGGAGATATAAGAAATAATAAGTCATTAAGTGGAGGTGTTTTGTTTTTATGTGCAGATAATGAGGCACCAACATTGGAATGTCCTGCCACCATTGAAGTAAGCACAGATGTGGGTAGTCCCTCATCCATCGTCACCTGGACAGTCTTGGGCCAAGATAACTCTGGCTCAGTATCTAGTCTTTCATCATCACCGTCTTCTGGGGAAAGCTTTGCAATCAGTACCACCACTGTCGTAGTCACAGCTCTTGATCAAAGTGGCAATATGGGACAGTGCTCGTTCAATGTTATTGTGTTCGGTGAGTTGTCTGGTTATGTTATGTTTCACCTTGTTCTGTTTTATTTTAGTTTTGCACCCAAGCCCAAGGGTATGAATTTTCATGAATTTTCATGTAGGAGTGATCTAAATAGTAATATAGATTTTTTTTTTTTTTTTTTGCTGCAGTTCACCATTTTGCCACAGGCCCCATGCATACTGAAATATATATTTGGTTTTTACCTTTTTTGTTGGAAAAACTATTATTTAAAAAAAAACTTGTAGACTTAATGGCCCAAATTCACAAAGCAAGGTTTGAGCTCAAACCTCCTTTTGTTTCGCCAAACCTCCTTTTGTTCTTTACAAACCAGGTTTGTAAAAAACGTGTAAAACGCGTCATATGACGTACGAAAACTAAGGTTTGTCGACAAACCTCCTTTGTGAATTCGGGCCAAAGACTTTGGTACTAAATGAATATTTATATATATGAAGTGCATGATCCCATCTCACATTTTACACAAACTACTCCCTGATAAAGAATGGTTTTACAGCAGTAATATGTTGGTATTCTTGAAAGCATACATCGACTCCTTGTTTTAACCCAGACTGTGTCTACCGATTTACAGAGTACCAAACGCCAACCTCATTATTCTGCAGAAATTACCGTTATTTTACAAGCAAATGATTAAACTGAAATAATGTCATTGCAATATGAATATTTCATGTTCATTTAATGGTTGGATTCATTTTGTGACAGAACTAATGTGATTTGAAAGGGATAAAGAGTTTGACACTTGGCACTCCAGAAGTGAGTTGACTATTAACTGGATGGTTTAACTAAGTCCATGCACATCTATGAATATAAGCTCATCACTGTTGGGCTATGCTTTTGTCTTTTTTAAAAAGATTCTGAACTGCCTGTCATCACGTGCCCTGCCAGCATAATCCAAGCCACTGACCTGGGTAGCTCATCTGCCACTGTCATGTGGCAAGTCACTGCTGCAGATAATTCAGGGGATCCCCCCACCATTACATCATCACCCGAACCAGGCATGCTTTCCTTCGGTACTCTCACTGTGGTCGCCATGGCAATAGATTCATCAGAAAACACAGCATCATGCAGCTTTACAGTCCAAATCGTTGGTAAGTACATTTCATTTTTGTCTGTTCTGAAAAAATTCTGTGTTTGATATATAGGAAGAATATTTTGATTGTCAGCTATTGTTAAAGGGATCCGATAACTTTGTCTCAGATTCTGAAACAAAATCCTGAATTTAGCTCATGCTGCAATGATAATTATAAAACTTAAGGTCTGTCAAGAACTCCGATTTTTACAAGCCGATCGCCTGTCTGATTATCAAGATATTTATGATTGGAAATCGAAACCAAATTTTGTGTTTGCCAAACAGTTTTCATAGCACTACAGTCTTGGGGAAAACAAGTATGGTAAAACCGGTCACTCAAAGATTTTTACTTTTTTGAGGCACTTCTTGATCATTTTGAAGCGCGATTGTTTGAGGGCTTCAATATTACCCCACATAATACAGACACTGGTATCACGTAGGGCCATGCATCTCAGATTTAAAATTGCCTTTAAATCTCATATTTTTTTTAACCAAATGCAGATCCAGCTTTTAAATCCTAGCAAGGCTATGTTTTCAGTCAGCATGTTCATTGCTGTACCACTAATTGGCACAAACAATGGGTAGCAAGCATCAAGTAGGTATGTTAACTGCAGCATGGTGTGGGCCATGTGCATGTATTAAGTCTACTGTATAGACGGACATTGGAGAATCCAGTAGTCGTCAGGTTAATATGCTATGATGAAATTACTGTTCTACCATTTGTATGTAGGTAGATATATTCAACAGGCTATTGCCCCTTTCAACAAATAATGTGGCACGGGAATAATCTTTTTGATTGGCATGTAAAATTCAATGTGATTAATTTGAATGTAGACGAAGAAGCACCATCAATCACATGCCCAGACAACATCACAGTTGCAACCGATTTGGGCGCATCTTCAGCAATCATCACATGGGCTGGCCCATTTGCGTCAGACAACACTGGTCAAGCGACTGCCGTGACGGACATCTCATTAGGCCTCTGGCCAATAGGGATCCAGACAGTTACTGGCACAGCAGTGGACGGGTCTGGCAATGAGGCTCAGTGTACTTTCTGGGTGAATGTTCAAGGTGAGGCTCGACATGGCTTCAATGTTAAAGCTGGCATAATTGCCTGTAGGCTTTTACATATAATTATAGCTTAATTGCTTGTGAGTACGTTTCAAAATACCTCATACATGAATCTAGCTATTATATTTTCAAGTGCTATGTCTTGTCTGTCTTGTCGGATTTTTAGAGTTTTACATTTGATATTACAGTAGTTCCTCATACTTGTATTGTATTGTATTTTTATTTGTATAAAGGGTTTGTCCAAGTTGTCCAAGAAAATCAGTCTATATTGTTGTTCTTTGAGCAATAGCACCCATATGACAATGCAATTTTTTTATGCCTCCGTTACGAAGTAGCCGGAGGCATTATGTTTTCGGGTTGTCCGTCCGTCCGTCCGTACGTATGTACGTACGTACGTCCCGTTCTTGTGATCGCGTTATCTGAAGAACCGATCGATGGATTCCTGCCAAACTGTGGTCATGAACTGATTAGATTTTGGGGTCACGAGGTCAAAGGTCAAAGGTCACAGGGCTCATTAGGTATGCAAAAACAGCTCGTGATCGCGTTATCTGAAGAACCGATTGATGGATTCCTGCCAAACTTTGGTCATGTATGTATCATGCAGAGCCAATGAACTGATTAGATTTTGGGGTCATGAGGTTAAAGGTCAAAGGTCACAGGGCTCATTATGTATGCATAAACAGCTTGTGATCGCGTTATCTCAAGAACCGATTGATGGATTCCTGCCAAAATTAGGTCATGTATGTTACTTGCAGAGCCAATGAACTGAGTAGATTCTTGGTTCACAAGGTCAAAGGTCAAAGATCATGGGCTCATTATGTATGCAAAAATAGCTTGTGAACGCATTCTCATTAGAACTGACAGATGGATTACTATTTAACTCAGGACATCTTTCAGAGCCAATGAACTGAGTAGATTTTAGGGTCATGAGGTCAAAGATCAAAGGGTCATATATGTATATGAGAAATTGCTTGTAATCACGATATTCTGAGAACCTGTCAATGGATTACAATTGAACTTGAATTCAAAAAATTTCTTCAGTTTTGGTTTGTAAAATTGCTCTATGACGGAGGCATCATTTTCGACTACGCGCAGTCGAATTCCATCTAGTTGTCAATATCATGGTTTGGGGGAGAATATGCTTTTAAATACACAAAGACTATGTAGACATTGCTATTCTTACTCAAGCACAACTGCATGTTTTCATTCTGTAAGGCATATTTGAGCTTGCTGCATCTTGTGTGAAGAAACCCTATTGAACAATGTGTGTATTTTGTCCAGATTTGGAGAATCCAATGGTTTTGTGCCCAGCAGACATCACAAGTGAACTGGTACCAGACCCAGTCACATGGGATGCCACAGCTACTGATAACTCAGAGATGATTGCTAATCTCACCAGCAGTCCCTCTACATCCGATGTCGTCCTTGGGACAAACACAGTGACTGTGATAGCCATGGATCCTTCAGGCAACAAGGCGGAGTGCTCTTTTGTGGTCATTTTGACTGGTGGGTTGGACGCATGCTATATCTTCCATATACAGGCATATCCGTATAGTATAAATGTTTAGTATTCATAGGTTCAAAACCAAGTTGATGTGCTTGTGCCCTTTTGTAATGTAATTCTCATCAAGTCCCTCAGATAAATACAGCCATACATGTATGTCCTCATCGGTGCTTACCCACAAGTTTATTCTTGCTTTTTTTAAGAAGTGGGGTATGAAAAAAATATCAATCAATTATAACTTTACAACTACAATTATAACTCAGGGATGCAGACTTGTACGGGTTTTTCAAACCCTTTTCTGCATCCCTAGACATGCTTGTCTGAATAAATACAATACAATACAATACAATTACAAGAATTTAAATCCATTTGTTTCTTCCACCCTCCCAAGACAAAAGTCAAATTAGAATTGTATTTTTAAAAAAATGACTGTTCTTACATCATTGAGGAATCCCAAATGCTTACCGGTACTAAAAGTGAGAAAGTAAGAGTCTGTATGTCAACTTTTCTAAAGACCTGGGCCATATTCAATTCAAAACTTAAGTACCCAAATTTAAGCTTTTTACGTAGTATTTGACTTATTTACAATACTTAGCCAATTTTGGTATTCAATTCAAACTTTTAGCTAAAAATTTTACCCTAAATTTAAGACAGCTCCCTACCAGACTTAAGCTAAATATTTGGAGGCCTTGATTGGCAGGCATATGGTTTTCTTATGCACTATTATAACTTGAGCATAATTATATTAGCGTGCATTTATTTATGTCACAATGCTTATCAGTAAGTATTTTATTTAGATTTTGTCTCAGGTAAGTAAAAGTCTAAAATGCGATTTGAATACGAGATAAGTAAACTTCTTAGCTTAGCCATTTACTTAGTCAATTTCTAACTTATTCTAAGTAAGTATTGAATTGAATACCCATCCTGCTGTATACTGTATAGAAGTTGCAATACTTGATTAAAACATTTGATTTGCATTTATTAGATACCACTGCACCCACCATCATCTGTCCAGATGAAGTCTCCAGCACTCTGGCTGCTGGACAATCAAGCGTGACCCTAGCATGGGTAGAACCTTCAGCCACAGACCTCTCTGGCGATGTGACGGTCACCGCTTCACATTCTCCTGGAGATTATAGCATTGGTCAAGTCAATGTGACGGCCAGTGCGACAGATTCGTCTGGGAACCAAGCAAGTTGTTTCTTTCTTGTGACTGTCACAGGTAAATGGAGACCTTTGTGGCCGCAATTAGGTTCAGATGTGAGGCCCATTCAGACGTTGGGCAATAAACTGCTGAGAAAATTACCATGAAAAAAAAACAGAAGAGATATTTCTATATTTTCTATATTCTATGCTCTACATTTCTATATTTTGAAACACAGCGATCAAAGAGTGGACATCGTTTTAGTCAAAAGCAATAGAAATGTATGTACTATGGGTATTGCTATCTGGACAGGGGTATGCTTTACCCCTGACAATATTGCCTCTTGCCATTCGTTCACATGCAGAGTTTTGATGTAGCATTTTTAGGTTACTTTCTCCACGTGTGAACAAGGTTTTAGCCTGCTTCTAGAGAAAGAAATTCTCAAAGAACTAAGTCAAGTGAATGAAAGGAAACTAGAGTTGTAAAAGAATGTTGGGATAAACAAAATAGTGTTGAAGGTGACATAGTTAATCATCTCTGCTTATTATTACTGTGAGGCTGTGCATTTCCTTAATGTTTGGAAGAAATTAACATATTCACCCCCAAAATGCTGTACATTCTATTCTCCTCCCTGTTAGATATGCAAGATCCCATGATCAGCAGTTGTCCACCTTCCCAATCAGTCAATACCGATAACGGATTAGCCACTGCAGTGGTCAGTTGGACACCACCTACGGCCTCGGATAACTCTGGTTCTGTGTCGCTGACCTCTGACTACAGCTCTGGGGATCCCTTCCCTATTGGAAGCACTCGGGTGACTTACACAGCCACTGATGGCTCAGGCAATTCAGTCATGACGTGTACCTTTGATATAGCAGTGCATGGTGAGTTCTTTATGCTTTATGGAATTTAATAATGCAGAGTTGAAATCATGGAAGACTACGCTATGCAAAGTTATAACTGCAGGCTAGTGATCATGCATACTTTTCACTTTCTTGTCCCTGCTTGTACACATACTTCTGACTTTCTGACTTTCGTGGATCATTTGATCCAAGTATTGTAAGATGGAGTGGAAAAGGCACCAGGTTTTATAGGAACTGATATTGGTAAACTGTTTCAACATAACTTGGTTTCCATTTCCAAGTAATGATGCAGACCCTTATTATATTTATTTTTATGACAAAAAGTGTTTTGGACAATTCATATCAATAACTCTTCAAAATATTGTCCATATTCCTTCCAATGTCCCCATTCGCACTGTTATACATTACTTTATAAAGTCAAATTGTGTTAAACATTGAAGACCTAGATTGTTTGTACCTAATATATAGTTTGTATATGACATTTGGATTCTTTTTGCGGCTCGGGATGATAGTAGCCCCGAGATCACCTTGGCGATGATAGTTTTTCACACTTCGGAAAAGGCGCATGTACGGGACTAAAAACAGCGTGTGTGAAAAGCCAAAAAAAAATAGTCCGGGGTTAAGGATAGTATGGGGCTAAGCAAAGTACGGAGTTAAGCAAAACCAGTGTGAAAAGAGTACAATAGTACTATTTGCTGAGGGGCGCAGCAAAGAAGCAAATGGTACTTTTGGAGTCACCGAGGCCCATAGTTTTAACCAGTACCTCGAATAGAAGGCATGGTAGAAGACACAGGCTCACTTGTCTTGATAGAAATGCAACATATTCTATGTCTTATTTAATCTTTCTCACAGATAATGAGAAGCCAGTCATAAGTGGATGCCCAAGTGATCAGAATGTCACCACAGACTTTGGGAATGCTACCGCTGTAGTAACCTGGACACCACCTACACCAACAGATAACTCTGGTAACCAGACACTGACATCCACTGACAATCCTGGAGACTACTTTCCAACTGGAAACAACACAGTAACCTACTATGCAAGCGATGATGCAGGAAATACAGAAACATGCACCTTCTTTGTAGTTGTGTCTGGTAAGTGTTCATGTGAAAACGAAACCCAAGTGTTCATGTTTTTTTGGCCTTGGTATCGCGATATCTCAAGAACCACTTGATATTTAAAGGTGAATTTGGAAGAAAGTGATGAAAATTTGCATGTTTGCTATTGTTGGAATGCTTATGACATAAGGAATTCAAATATATTGATTGACAGAAATTTGCATGTGTTGTTAAATTATTATTAGACTTAGAAAGATAAATATTGTAAGCTGCCTTCTCGCTGGCAGCCGACGATGTACCTCGAGCTAGCTCCAGCCTATGTACTGGCAGATTAAGCTGTACTTGTGTCAATTTTGCTTGTATAATATTGTCAGGTTAAATATAATTAAATGTAGGCTTTTACATATAATTATAGCTTGCCTGTGAGAACGTTTCAAAATACCTGATACATGAATCTAGCTATTATATTTTCAAGTGCTATGTCTTGTCTGTCTTGTCAGATTTTTAGAGTTTTACATTTGATATTACAGTAGTTCCTCATACTTGTATTGTATTGTATTTTTATTTGTATAAAGGGTTTGTCCAAGTTGTCCAAGAAAATCAGTCTATATTGTGGTTCTTTGAGCAATAGCACCCATATGACAATGCAATTTTTTGTCAATATCATGGTTTGGAGGAGAATATGCTTTTAAATACACAAAGACTATGTAGACATTGCTATTCTTACTCAAGCACAACTGCATGTTTTCATTTTGTAAGGCATATTTGAGCTTGCTGCCTCTTGTGTGAAGAAACCCTATTGAACAATGTGTGCATGTATTTTGTCCAGATTTGGAGAATCCAGTGGTTTTGTGCCCAGCAGACATCACAAGTGAACTGGTAGCAGACCCAGTCACATGGGATGCCACAGCTACTGATAACTCAGAGATGATTGCTAATCTCACCAGCAGTCCCTCTACATCAGATGTCATCCTTGGGACAAACACAGTGACTGTGATAGCCATGGATCCTTCAGGCAACAAGGCGGAGTGCTCTTTTGTGGTCATTTTGACTGGTGGGTTGGACGCATGCTCATACTTGATTCTTCCATATACAGGCATATCCGTATAGTATAAATGTTTAGTATTCATAGGTTCAAAACCAAGTTGATGTGCTTGTGCCCTTTTGTAATGTAATTCTCATCAAGTCCCTCAGATAAATACAGCCATACATGTATGTCCCCATCGGTGCTTACCCACAAGTTTATTCTTGCTTTTTTTAAGAAGTCGGGTATGAAAAAAATATCAATCAATTATAACTTTACAAGAATTTAAATCCATTTGTTTCTTCCACCCTCCCAAGACAAAAGTCGAATTAGAATTGTATTTAAAAAAAATGACTGTTCTTACATCAATGAGGAATCCCAAATGCTTACTGGTACTAAAAGTGAGAAAGTAAGAAATCTGTATGTCAACTTTTCTAAAGACCTGGGCCATATTCAATTCAAAACTTAAGTACCCAATTTTAAGCTTTTTACGTAGTATTTGACTTATTTAAAATACTTAGCCAATTTTGGTATTCAATTCAAACTTTTAGCTAAGAATTTTAGCCTAAATTTAAGACAGCTCCCTACCAGAATTAAGCCAAATATTTGGAGGCCTTGATTAGCAGGCATATGGTTTTCTTACGCAGTATTATAACTTGCGCATAATTATATTAGCGCGCATTTATTGCAACGTGTTAATTGCGCATTACTTTTGATTGACCGTGTGATGTCACAATGCTTATTAGTAAGTATTTTATTAAGATTGTGTCTCAGGTAAGTAAAAGTCTAAAATGCGATTTGAATACGAGATAGTAAACTTCTTAGCTTAGCCATTTACTTAGTCAATTTCTAACTTATTCTAAGTAAGTATTGAATTGAATACCCATCCTGCTGTATACTGTATAGAAGTTCCAATACTTGATTAAAACATTTGATTTGCATTATTAGATACCACTGCACCCACCATCACCTGTCCTGATGATGTCTCCGGCACTCTGGCTGCTGGACAATCAAGCGTGACCCTAGCATGGGTAGAACCTTCAGCCACAGACCTCTCTGGCGATGTGACGGTCACCGCTTCACATTCTCCTGGAGATTATAGCATTGGTCAAGTCAATGTGACGGCCAGTGCGACAGATTCGTCTGGGAACCAAGCAAGCTGTTTCTTTCTTGTGACTGTCACAGGTAAATGGAGACCTTTGTGGCCGCATTTAGGTTCAGATGTGAGGCCCATTCAGATGTTGGGCAATAAACTGCTGAGAAAATTACCATGAAAAAAAACAGAAGAGATATTTCTATATTTTCTATATTTTCTATATTTTCTATATTCTATGCTCTACATTTCTATATTTTGAAACACAGCGATCAAAGAGTGGACATCGTTTTAGTCAAAAGCAATAGAAATGTATGTACTATGGGTATTGCTATCTGGACAGGGGTATCCTTCCCCCTGACAATATTGCCTCTTGCCATTTGTTCACATGCAGAGTTTTGATGTAGCATTTTTAGGTTACTTTCTTCATGTGTGAACAAGGTTTTAGTCTGCTTCTAGAGAAAGGAATTCTCAAAGAACTAAGTCAAGTGAATAAAAGGAAACTAGAGTTGTAAAAGAATGTTGGGATAAACAAAATAGTGTTGAAGGTGACATAGTTAATCATCTCTGAATGAGAAAAAACAGCAGCCCTTTATAAGGACTACTATGCTTATTATTACTGTGAGGTTGTGCATTTCCTTAATGTTTGGAAGAAATTAACATATTCAATCCCAAAATGCTATACATTCTATTCCCCTCCCTGTTAGATATGCAAGATCCCATGATCAGCAGTTGTCCACCTTCCCAATCAGTCAATACCGATAACGGATTAGCCACTGCAGTGGTCAGTTGGACACCACCTACGGCCTCGGATAACTCTGGTTCTGTGTCGCTGACCTCTGACTACAGCTCTTGGGATCCCTTCCCTATTGGAAGCACTCGGGTGACTTACACAGCCACTGATGGCTCAGGCAATTCAGTCATGACGTGTACCTTTGATATAGCAGTGCATGGTGAGTTCTTTATGCTTCATGGAATTTCATAATGCAGAGTTGAAATCATGGAAGACTACGCTATGCAAAGTTATAACTGCAGGCTAGTGATCATACTTTTCACTTTCTTGTCCCTGCTTGTACACATACTTCTGACTTTCTGACTTTCATGAATCATGTGATCCAAGTATTGTAAGATGGAGTGGAAAAGGCACCAGGTTTTATAGAAACTGATATTAGTAAACTGTTTCAACATAACTTGGTTTCCATTTCCAAGTAATGATGCAGACCCTTGTTATATTTATTTTTATGACAAAAAGTGTTTTGGACAATTCATGTCAACAACTCTTCAAAATATTGTCCATATTCCTTCCAATGTCCCCATTCGCACTGTTATACATTACTTTATAAAGTCAAATTGTGTTAAACATTGAAGACCTAGATTGTTTGTACCTAATATATAGTTTGTATATGACATTTGGATTCTTTTTGCGGCTCGCGATGATAGTAGCCCCGAGATCACCTCGGCGATGATAGTTTGCACCATTACTCTCGTAGTCGATTAATATTTGCTTACTATGTATTACCATGGAAAAACTATCTGGTTATATATTTTAGTAACTAGGTCTAAGGTTAGATAGGTCAACTTTTGTATTTCACCCTATTTTTTTTTGTTTTTTGTAGTATTGTTTTATTGTATTCATTCAGTACAAAATATATAACAAACAAATATACAGCTTCATTGATTTACATATATCAAAATATAAAGAAAATTGTACATTTCTCAAAAAATACATAAGATAGTTTAATACACAGTACATAATGTTTACATTTAATTACACTGAACGAATATTATAAATCAAAGAGTTACCTACAGACAGACAGACACACCACACACGCTCACATACTCAGACACACATACAAACTGACATATCCCCCTTCCCCCCTTCATTCCAAAGCTTAACAAATCCCCCCTCCCTGCCCGAGCATTCACATCTACACATTTGTTGGAAATCCTGTCTCTTCCTTTTCCTTAAGACCAAACTATACATTTAAACCAAAAAAAATGTCTGAGTCTGAAAAAGAAGTATTTGCCTCGCCGTCCTTAACTGTGGAAGTTGTCTTTTCTGAAGTGAAGTGTTAAAGTGCCTCTCTCCCCCGCTAATTCCTTTTCTTCTTGCCTATTTTCTATTATTCTTTTTTTAATTTCTTGAGGAATTGGGGGTCTATTTTGAGTTGAACTATATTTAAAAATCATATGTTTTGTTAAAAGAATTGGCCTTGGTATCGCGATATCTCAAGAACCATTAGCGATATAATGCTCAAACTTGTTGATAGTATACAAATATACACTGTCTTGAGAGTTTCTGGTTAAAACTACGCGCAATAGGTTACTCCAATACTGTTTTCACACTGGCAATATTTTGCTTAACCCTGTACTATAGGTGGGGTTAAGGGGGGGTCTTAGCCCTACCTATAGTACGGGGTTAAGCCTATTCCACTTTCTGTTCAGACTGGCTTTTACCAAAGTGGGCTAAAGTTGGCTAACCCCACCTATAGTACAGGGTTAACTAACCCTGCAAAATAGCAGGGCTAACTCCGCAATTGTGGTGCTAACTCCTGCTAACCCCGCAATTGCATGCAGTGCCAAGCAAATGAAGGAGAACAGAAACAAAAAATATTCCGGTACTACGCAATGGAGCGTATCCCAGCTGGGAAGATGCAAAGTATGTCCAATCATAACATTCACGATATCTGGGGTTAACGAATTGCAGTGAGAACAGCGTGAATTTTCTTATTCCAGAATAGGCACTAGTACGGGACTAAAAACAGCGTGTGTGAAAAGCCCCAAAAAATAGTCTGGGGTTAAGGATAGTACGGGGCTACCGGTAAGCAAAGTACGGGGTTAAGCAAAACCAGTGTGAAAAGAAGGGCTGAAGGGCGCAAATGGTACTTTTGGAGTCACCGAGACCCATAGTTTTAACCAGTACTTCGAATAGAAGGCATGGTATATTTTTTTTTATATCCTGCATCAAAAATTTATTTTTAAAAAAGATTTAAAATATTTTTTTTTTATTAAATTCAGATTTGAAGAAGAAAAAAAATCAATTAAAAAAAAAAAAAAATCACAATTTTTTTTCAACTCCCAAATAGTACTCCAAAATAGTACTTCTACTCCCAAATAGTACCCTCATATAGTTCTTTTTCAGAGGAACCTTAAAATAGATGAAATATTTCTGTTCACGTGACAAGCTCTCAACCAATCAAAAGCCAATAAATTGTTGATGCATGATATAATATTTATTATTAACATAGGAAGGCATTAGATTTAAGGTAAGTATAGATTAAAGTTCACGAAGGCCAATTATTGAAATTAAAGAGTTTTAGCCTTGCTATTGAAATATTTTAACATGTTGACAGTACTTCCAGAGCATGATGATCTGTTTAGGCTTGGCGTCAAAAATAAATATACCAGCCAGCGGCAGCTGACTGCACTTGTGCGTCCTGGCTGCATTTTTTAAATTAGCTCAACCGGCTACCGCTGGCGGTAGGAAATGGCATTCAAAAGCATGCGCCGGCTGCCGCCTTTCAAATGGAAACCGAGCCTCAGATCCCAGCCTGGCGCAAGCCGGCTGGGCTAATAAGTGAAAAGTAATTGCCCCAGCCAGGCTTCGGCCGTAATTGCAGCCTCGATGCGCCAATACGTGAGGCGGCAGCCTGCTGGTATCGATATTTTTGACGCCTCGCCTTATAAAGAAGACACAGGCGCACTTGTCTTGTTAGAAATGTAACATATTTTATGTCTTATTTAATCTTTCTCACAGATAATGAGAAGCCAGTCATAAGTGGATGCCCAAGTGATCAGAATGTCACCACAGACTTTGGGAATGCTACAACTGTAGTAACCTGGACACCACCTACAGCAACAGATAACTCTGGTAACCAGGCACTGACATCCTCTCACAATCCTGGAGACTACTTTCCTCTTGGAAACAACACGGTAACCTTCTATACAAACGATGATGCAGGAAATACAGGAACATGCACCTTCTTTGTAGTTGTATCTGGTAAGTGCTTGTGTTATGTTTTATTATTTAATAAGCAGTTTTGCGTTCTCTTTATAGTGTGGGCTGGCATCTGTTTTTATGCCTCCGCCCACCAAAAGTGATGCCGGAGTCTTTAAGTTTTCAGGGTGTCTGTCCGTCCGTCTGTCCTGCTTTCTCGTGATCGTGATATCTCAAGAAAGATTCAGTCATGGACTTCAAACTAAATGATACTATGTATCATCATAGAAAAAACAATCTGGTTATATTTTTGAGTAACTAGGTCAAAGGTCAGATTCTATTGGCCTTGGTATCGCGATATCTTAAGAACCAAACTTGTTGATAGTATTAATAACATAAGGAGACTGTCTCATAAGAATAAATGTAAGTAGGTTAAAGTTCACAGAGGCCAATTATTGAAATTAAATGGTTTTATCCTTGCTATTGAAATATGTAAGAATGTTGACAATACTACCAGATCAAGATGATCTGTTTATATTTTAGGGCTAGTATAGTTGTCAGTTGCCATTTGATTATAAGCATCGTGATATGTCGTGAATCATTTCATCCATTTCCTATACTGAATTCAGGGTGGAGGCATATATAGAAGACGCAGGCAAATTGTCTTGTTAGAAATGCAACATATTTTATATCTTATTTAATCTTTCTCACAGATAATGAGAAGCCAGTCATCAGTGGATGCCAAAGTGATCAGAATGTCACCACAAACTTTGGGAATGCTACAGCTGTAGTGACCTGGACACCACCTACAGCAACAGATAACTCTGGTAACCAGACACTGACATCCTCTCACAATCCTGGAGACTACTTTCCTATCGGAAACAACACAGTAACCTACACATCAACAGATGGTGCAGGAAATACAGAGACATGCACCTTTAATCTAGTTGTTACAGGCAAGTGAAGTTTATCATATAAGATAATATCATCATTATTTTATTTTCCAGCAGGTAACTTTTGCAAAATCATTAATGATGATCATCATCATTCAAATGATATTTTGTGACGTTGTTATTGTAAACAAAAATAATAATAGACTTTACGAGGTAACTTGTTAAGTGCCAGGCAAATTTGGATAAATATTAATGATGATAATGTCATATAAAAAGCAATTCAATCACATTCCCTATATTAACCCTAAAATGACTGGTTAAGCCCCCCCCCCCACTCTTTTTTCGTGATCTACGTTGTAATGCTTGATTAAAATTTAACAATGCCACTTCCCGACTTGTTTTTCTTAGAGTCTTGGGCATCTTTTGAAACAATTTTTTTGAAAATTGGACCTGCTGTCCCAAGTCACGTGACCTTTTGTCTTTCAGCCCGAAAATGGCTCATATTCGTCATTTGTGTACAAACATATGGAAATATCATTTATACAAAAAAGAGATAAAACATTGGTTGTTTGGTCTTTTGTAAAGTATAGGTGTCGAAATTAGTAATTTTTAAAGGAGTCCAGAGTTACATGTTGGGGCCATAGGCAATGGTTATCTATTATTGTTTTCTGAGAGCCATTAACCTTCATTTTAGCCTTTCGTAGTTCTATGAGGGTGATATTGCTTGTTATACTTGAACTCCAATCATGTCTCTGTTGTTTGTGTGTTTCTTTTACAGATCCAGTACAAGAAAATTGTTTTTTAATTGGTAGTTAAATTAAAACTGCCACTCTTCTTAAATGTGGCCAGAGATTAAATCTGGCTCAACTTTAGGGTCTGTTGATTTCATCAGGGTCAAGTTTCAACCCTTGAATTTGTTCATAAGTTAGTGTAACAGACAGTGTAACATAAAACATTAAATGAACAAAATCAGCTTGGTCATGGAAATGAAAATGAGAATGTAATGTCATACAGTTTCACACTTACATTCATTGTGTTACAGAAGTTCATATCTTGGAGACAATGAAATGGTTGATATTTTGCACATTATAGGAAGGTGAACTCAATATACTATACAACAAAAGAAATTTGTCAAAAGGTATGTGTTGGGCCTAACAATCCCTTCTGCCTTTAACATTTACCCATGAATGTATACAAAATTGTTTTCATAGAATGCTTGAATGGATGTTTCTTTATATTTTGCATTTGGGAGTTATTATCTCTATGGTATATATTTGAAAACTTTGATAATAATGACTTTTTATGCCTCCGTTACGAAGTAGCCGGAGGCATTATGTTTTCGGGTTGTCCGTCCGTCCGTCCGTACGTACGTCCCGTCCTCGTTATCGCGTTATCTCAAGAACCGATGGATGGATTCCTGCCAAACTTGAGTCATGTATGTATCAGGCAGAGTTAATGAACTGATTAGATTTTGGGGTCACATGGTCTAAGGTCAAAGGTCACATGGCTCATTATGTATGCGAAAATAGCTCGTGATCGCGTTATCTCAAGAATCGATAGATGGATTCCTGTCAAACTTAAGTTATGTATGTATCTTGCAGAGCTAATGAGCTGATTAGATTTTGGGGTCACAAGGTCCAAGGTCAAAGGTCACATGGCTCATTGTGTATGCAAAAATAACTAGTGATCGCGTTACCTCAAGAACTGATGGATGGATTCCTGCCAGACTTAGGTCATGTATGTATCTTGAATAGCTAATTGACTGATTAGATTTGGGGGTCACCAGGTCAAAGGTCACATGGCTTATTATTTATGCAAAAATAGCTTGTGATCACATTATCATTAGAACCGATGGATGGATTACTATGGAACACGAGAGATGTATGTATCTTGCACAGCCAATTAACTGATTAGATTTTAGGGGCATAAGGTCAAAGTTTAAAGGGTCATACATGTATATACATGTATATAATAAATAGCTTGTAATCACAGTATTCTGAGAACCTGTTAATGAATTACAATCAAACTAGAATTTGAAAAATTGCTTCTCTTCTGGTTTTATAAAATTGCTCTATGACGGAGGCATCATTGTGGACCGCGTGCAGTCGAACATCCATCTAGTTTTTGTTGTTGTCATTTTCTCCCCTTATCTAGACCCAATGGTTAATATATCCCTCTTGGTTAATGAAATGTATAATCTGACATCACCGGGGTATCCATCAAACTACGACATCAACCTTAACCTCCAGTGGACTGTGTTAGCGCCCTCTGACTACCGTGTCATGATCTCCGTAACAGACTTCAGGTCAGAGGATCTCTATGATTACCTCCACATTGGTGGAGGATTGACCTTTGACCCTGATACGTGGATGGTGCGGTTCTCTGGGACTCATGACTCACATACGGAGGTTCTACTACCAGGGAGAGAAGCTTGGATTTTGTTCTTCAGCGATTACATTACTACGAATGTAGGATTCGTTCTTGAAATTACAACTTCTAGTGAAGCAGGTGGGGTAAAGAAAGCAATATCTTTGTGATCGTAAATTTATAGTGCATAGTTTTAACTGTTTTAGTTTTGCAAGATTTATTTGATGTCTTTTACCAATGTGATTGTACTTGATATTAAGAATGATTGATATGTTTTTTGTTTTTTAATAAATCTCCTTTTATGAATCAATAAAGTTTGTACAATAAGCCCAAGGCTACCTGTTCTTTGATATGGAACAGAATAAAAGTCTACATAAAAATGTACATAATGATACATATATCAAAATTGATAATGTAACAAATAAAAAACTTTGTAATGAAAAGTGTGAGTATAACGCTGCTATTGCCTAATTTGAAGTTTCCCCTTAAGGTTTACAGTACAATAGACTTATACAGCATCTTATATTTACTTGTTTGTTTCAGAAAATATTACCAGTAATACAATTTTCGTAGATGACGGTATATGTTGTTAACGTGTCAGCCATGCCTTAACACTCTGTAGAGAAACATTTTGCAAGGTGGTATTTTTCCAATATACCGGTTTACTAACCTATTCATAGTTTATGCATACTTTTGAAACAAAGGTTGTTCTGGAGAAACTAAAACATTGCTTGAGGCTTGTCCAACATAGCAAAAAGTAAAGTATGCAGTCTGGATTCCAAGTATTATAGTTCATACATCAATAACGGGTTAATGGAATACCTTGACACCAGGTCCCCTGGAAAGAAACATCCACAAATTTGAATATATCAGTAAACCGGTATATAGTACAGTGCTATAGATCAGTTTGTAGTTAGCACATGATACAAATGATCCCCAAATATTCACAGATCTTTGACACATGGAGAAGTCCCCCTTTTTGCATTATTGAATAATCACTGCCAAAGTCATGGAAGTGCTTCATGAATAACTTTTGTTTGCCCATCTGTGTATCATAGAATCTACCATCGGTGAATAAATGTATAATGATGACAACTTTCATGAGCAGGTATCCAGTATTCTTCTCAGTGGGTTTCACAATTTTGAACAAATGACTATCTGCCCATGCGCAGCTTGTATCTACAAACTGGCTCATTAATAATTGTAAGTTATTGTTTCAAGTGCCTAAAGAAAGCATATTTTTCTTAATCTGAACATTAATGCATATGGACTGCTTTATTCTTACAGCCGGTGAATGTGGAGCATCTTTTATCTCCTGTCTAAAGAGAGATGTCTGTATTTCCAACTCGACTTCCTGTGATGGGTCGCCTATATGCTTTAATGGATATGATGAGTGGAATTGTGGTATGTAACACAGTGTTGGTTGAAGAATGCAAGCCCAGAAGATTTCTGAGCTCATCTTGAGTGCCCGGCTCATTGCTGTTTATACCCTAGTCACATGGTCAAACCGGCTTCACACCGACTCCAAAATGACAGATAGTTTACCATTAAGGGTAATGTAGTCTCGTGAGTGTGACTGGGCCGGGTAGTACATGTATCTTACCTGCATAGCTGGTGTGATACACATGTAGGCAACGTTTTTTCTGATAGTAGCGACAGTGACAGCTAGTATCAATAATTGTATGCTTCCACCATGGAAGGTGGTGCTGCAGCTGTGATACATGTAGCTTAAGAACCAACAGATTTTCACCAAACCTGCATGAAGTATATGTGTGAGCATCCAAGGAAGAAGTGAATAGATGTTGTGGGTAATATGGCACAGGGTCGCAAGAGTGTTAAGAAATAATTTTAAAAAGATCTTGATACCATGCAAATTGAATCAGACTTTGAAGAAGCATGCAAGAGCATGCAAGGATGAACACGATATTGGTTGTAATAGGTGAAAGGTCAGAGGTTACGGGGTCATAACAATGTTTAAAAATGCAAACTTGAACAGATTTGAAGCGGTTCAAACCAGAGCTGAAGGAAGTACTAAACATGAGCATCCAAGGATGAACTCATAGCATTTTTAGTGTAAAGGGTCACAGGTCACAAAAGTGTTTAAAATGTTTTGTCCCCACGGTAAAGTGCAAAGCATTTAATCAATTCAAACCAAATTTAGCTCTAGTATATGTTTAATCATGTAAGGACGCACTGATCAGATTTGGAGTGTAAGGTCTCAGTGTCAATAAAGTGTAACAATTAAAGAAAATACATGTGTATTGTGACTGCAAAAATATAAAAACCGTTGAAGCTATCATTACAAAACATGTTACAAGTTTGTATGAGCATGTAGGAATGAGCTCATTGGAATTTAGGTGTAAGATATCATAGGTGATAGATCTCATGAAATAAGAAATATTTTATATAAACAGTGACGAGTGACCAAACACTGAACCAATTTCCACCAAACTTGGCTCAAGCGTGAATGTCAATGAGCATAAAAAGATTTAAAACAAAGAGTTTGGTTCATGAGGTTGGTGATTATAGTGACCGGTGGTCATTTGCTTGACCAGTTATGAGGCATGGTCAGCTGTGCTTAACCAGTTATTTGGCATGAACAATTATATCAGGTGGTTTGAATCCTAATATTAAAATTGTGGGGCATAGGCAAGACCATGCATGTTTGATTTAATTTTTTTTTAATATGAAAGCTTGACAGCTTACCAGCAATTTTGCCAGAATTGTTTACTCTTAATTGCTTGTTTGTACATTTTTGTATTTATAATAATGATACTAGTGATGATGATGAGAATAGTAATAATAATATATTAATGATTGTGATGAATAAGAAGAAGAAGGAGAAGAGGAACAGGAAGGATAAAAAGAAGAAGGAGAAGGGGAGAGGAAGAGGAGGAAGAAATGAATTTCTGTAAAGTACATTGAATGAACTAACTTATATGCCTGTGTAAATGACAGTTTAATCATATTTCATACTTTTCATTCTTCCCATAACACCAGACCCAAGCTGTCCTTCTTCTGATATTCAGACAATTTCCACCTCGATGCCCTACTCTGTCATTTCTGACAACTACCCATTAGCCTACGGCAATGACATTGAGTGCATATGGGTACTCCAAGCAGAGGCTTACCACTCCCTCGTCATCGACATCCTAAACTTCTATTTGGAAGATGGCTACGACTTCTTCTACATCGGGATTGGCCACGATCGATCGGAGCGGGGTTCACTTGTCGTAAGGCTGACCGGATATATTGCGTCAACAAGATACTATCTTGGGATCGAGTCATATCTGTATTTTTATACTGATTACTCAATTGGATACTCTGGGTTCGTTCTAAATGTGACATCCATTCCATTTGAATGTAAGTAGGAGGACGCTGTACTAAAAATGCCCAATCTCTTGATCTTCTTCGAAATGATGAATACTAAAACATGAACGTATATTGTTTTGGGTAACTGATAGTAGAAGTGGTCCTAGAATTATTATTAGTAGTAGTAGTAGCAGTCGTAAGAGCACTGGTAGAAGTAGTAGTGGTGAAATTAGAAAAGTAGTTGCATATGAAAGAAACCAAGATGTTATTAAAAATATGAGTATATGATAATGGTGAGGGCATTGAGTTACCCTGTTTAAATAAAACGAATTAATAAAATAAATAAATACAAATTGAGTTTATTTAGGACCATAATGTATTTGTCTCCTTTGCACTTATCTGTTTGAGGCTATTCAGTGTGTTTCTTGTTCAAGAAAGCATAGTTCAGAATTATCAAATTCTCTTAAAATGCAGTATATCTGCAAGTGGTGAAGATAACATAACATATTCCTTTGAATAGTGTTTGCTCAAAAAATGCATGCTCATAGAGACGAGTTTTCATATTCTTCCTCAGTAACTGAGTCTTGTGATGCAGACCAAAGAGTTCCAGTGGGATCTGCTTGTGATGGAGTTACTGATTGTGTTGATGATTCAGATGAATTTGGATGCGGTAAGTTGATTATTTCCCCATTTCTCTCTATTGTCATTGGGGTAAGATAGCTGGCACAGTCAGTACTTCGTCTCCCTTTGTCTCCCTCTCAGACAAATGATTGAGGCTTCAAGTCTTGCTCAAAGAGATGACTGGAGCATGTCCTTTGGGTAAATGTTAGGTGATTAAATGATATTAGCTATTATCCATTATTGAATGATTGAATTGACATATATTTCCATCATCACAATAAAATATGGAATATCATTACAGATAAATATTTAAAAATTACCGCCATCCCCCCCCCCCCCCCACCCATGAAAAACTTAATGGAAACAATAAATTTCAAAACAGATGAAAGTATAAACCAAAGTACAAATGGAAAATGGTGTGTCTAAAGCCATTATGCAGGTGTCATTTGTAAGACGCACCTTTTGACCCCCGGGGATGGTGCGTCATGGTTGCGTCATGTTCCCCAAAATCGCGACGCACAGTACCGTCATGGCCGCAAAATGTTGTCACAATACTGACCCATATGTGCGTCGTAGTAAGTCACTTTACCACGTTGCGTCATTTGGTGTGTCAATGGGACCGTCACTTTCTCGAAGCAGAAGTGTTTCTCAAATGTGCGTCATTGGCTAGTCATTTTCATGAAATGGTGTGTCATATGTTTGACTCAAATGTGCGTCGATGGAATGTAATGGTGTGTCACTTTCTGTGACGGAAGGTGCGTCATGGTATCAAAATGTACGACTCACATCGGTACAATGACGCACCATTCCCGGGGGTCAAGAGGTGTGTCTTACAAATGACAAGTGCATTAAGGTTTGACAATTGAATGCATCATGCGCACAAGAAATAACAGCATGTGTTGTCAGAAAAGAAAAATGAATTGCATTTCTGTATAAATGATGCATTATACAGAGAGAGAACCAATGTTTCTAGTACCAATAGAGTCCTTTAAATGAATTGTTAATCAAACAGACTGTAAAATAGAAGGCAGAGATTTCCAAAGTTTAGGAACAACATAATTTAGGGAATTGTTTAATGCATTAGAAGAAGCGTAGGTTTGGAAGAAGGGAGTTTGAGAAGAATTGTTGCTTAAATGATGCAATTTTTCATTGATTGATATCATAAAAGTGTAAAGTTTGTAATATTCTAAACACAGGTTGTCGAGGGAGCTAAGAAAGGGGGATGAGAACAAAGTTGTTATACCCTATTTTTGAGCCTGTATAATTTGAGTAACTTAACCGCCCCCCCCCCTTGACATTTTTCGCGATAATTTTTTAACGCAAGAAAATGTTGCACTGAAATTTTGTGGCTTTTTTCTTTCGAGTCTTGCGCATCTTTTGAAAGATTTTTTTTGAAAATCAGACCTACCATTACAAAGTCATGTGTCCTTTTGTCTTTGCATGTCAGCCGGAAATCGCTCAATTTTGTGATTTGTGTACAAAACATATGGAAATCTCATTTTTCAAATAAAGAGATAAAACATTGGTTATTTGGTCTTGTTTATAGTTTAGGTGTTTATTTTAGGGGTCAAAATAGTTGAATTATAGTTGGAAATGAAATAAAACAACAAAAACAATAAAATACATGAGTTAAAAAAACAAAGAAATACATAAGAAATTATCAAAACAATAAATAACATAAGGAATAACCTGGCTCTTCCAATTTTTTTGGCTGTATTATTATCCCAAATGGTCTAAATAATATATGTAGTGAAAATTAATGTTTAAATATGAAGAATATATGATTTATGGATAAACATGTGAATTTTATTACCATATTTGCATAAATTACCATAAATATGCAAATAGTGAAATTTTCAAAAAAATTGAAATTACCATAGTATTCTATACACTTCACTTGACATGCATGCAAATTTTTGCGGCGATAGGTCATTTCACGGCCGAGATCATAGGGGGAGCCTTGGAAGCCCCCCCCCCGGGCTATGCAGTTTCAAAATAGCCCGGGCTATATAGGGTTAAGGGATGTTGCGTCGTCCAGACAGAATTGGAATACATACATGTAATATGTGGTAAAATGAATGCATTATATGACATGTGATGATTTCAAACTTTAGCTTTACTTTTGTAAGGTTTATATAGGCCTCTATATGTTTGTTATTTCATCGGTACATTGTGAAGAGTCAACGTTTTGCTGAATTGTACTTTTATTTACATAGAATGCAATATTTGTTCCTGGTTGTATTAAAGCAAACATTCCCCTTACATGTGATGATGGAAACATGAATATGATGTTTTTTTTAATTTGTGTTTTCGCCCTTTCTTCGCAGTGTGCCAAGACGATCAATTTCAGTGCAATGGGATTTGTCGCCCTCTTTCAATCCTCTGTGATGGAGTGATAGATTGCGAGGGTTTTTCGGATGAGGAGGACTGTCGTAAGTAGTTTGTATCAAGGTTAAAACTCCACACTGGATTACAATAATGTTATCCAGCAATGAATTTGTTTTTTCTTTGGTGTTAAGACTGGATTGCAAAATTGGTCAGGGAATTTTCTTCATAGATAAAATATCTGTGACAAAGTCATTTACATGCATGTATAGCGGTCTTTTACATATTTTTTATTGAAGTCAACTGTAGCAAAACAAGATGTTTCCATGTAATTCTGATTTAGAGTGCATATATGTGACATTGTTACCGGTACCGATAAATATCAACGTTTATGTAATATTGTTCATTATGCCAGGGGGAATCAGGTATATACCAGTTTAAAAAAAAATTCTTTGTTCCATAAAATGATAAAACATACTGAAATAATCTGTTATCCATGGATTACGTCAGTAGTGAATCAATTGATTGAAAAGTGCATTTTGTTTTCTTTGATGGTTTTTTCTAGCACGCTGTGAGCCAATCAAGGAAAGCTCCTGCCTTGGCCTCCTTCCATACTACCAGACCTACTACCCTAGCAGTCTGGCAGCCATCAACCAGACACTTGCTATTGAAAGTTTCAGTGTATTGAGCACTGCTGCCACCACCTGCCACACTGATGCATCTCTCTTCCTCTGCGCCATCCTCTTCCCGGAATGCATCCATGATGGGCCCACGGCCAGACCGTGCCAAACCACATGTGAAGCTGTCAGGAGTGCATGCTCGTCTGCTTTTGAGAGCTTGACTGGGTCTCCCTGGGCGATTGCTTGCGAGGAGGAGTTCAGCAACGCTAGTCCTCTCAACGATGGTTCTCTTGCTGATGGTTTGCTCTGCAGAGGGCCAGAAGGAGGTGAGAATGAGGGCGTGATAGTGATTGAAGCTAGGCCGAGTAATCTAACTTTTGGAGCAAAGTTCTTTGAAGTTACCCATACACTACACTAGCAATATCCATTGGTCAATTTCTCTAACAAGCAGTTACATGAGAGTGATGATCGAACCATGATCATGATTATGATACCGTAATTAATGGTGTATAAACCGCCCTCGTGTATTAACCGCACCCCTCTTTTTCCGCCCTAAAAAAAAATTATAGAAAATAAATTCTTCTTTTTTTTTTCTTTTTTTTCTGCCTACTTTGTCGGCAGCAAGCCAGGTCCGTGTTAAGAAACCCACGCGGGAAGGCCTTTCATTTAACTGCGAGGTGCAGCTGAATGTGTAAGATCATTAATGTAAATTAAAAGACAGTACAGGACCTAGGATAGAACCTTGTGGTACGCCGTGTAATAGAAGAAAAATTGGAGGAATTATTATTATAAACTACATATTGAGATCTATCAGAAAGATTACTTTCAAACCAAGATGACAGACACATTTGAGTGTTGTTCTAGTTTCCGAGTGGTGAGTCAACACACTGATTACTGAGCTGGGAGACATTGCCAGGCATAGCGCCAGGTGGAGGGGCATAAATCGAAAGTTTAAAAAAACTTTGAATTTTTTTCGGCGCCAAAAAGGGTGGTTAATACACCGTTAAGTACATGTATAATCAAGAAAATTATGTTTTCATATTGAATTTCATGCTACGTATGGTATTCAGCATGAAACGATATGAATTAGGGATGATAATAATACATGCAAGAATGTATTTCATGATGTAAATCATCAAGAAATAGTTTAGATCTCGGAAAGATTTAAAAAGACTTGTTAGGTTTCTCATTTTAATGCCTCTGTTACATAGTAGCCGAAGGCATTATGTTATGTTTTCGGTTTGTTCGTCCGTCTGTACGTCCCATTCTCGGGATCACGTTATCTCAAGAACCGATTAATGGATTCCCGCCAAACTTACATCATGTATGTATCTTGCAGAGCCGATGAACTGATTAGATTTTGAGGTCACAGGGTCAAAGGTCACAGGGCTCATTATGTATGCAAAAACAGCTCGTGATCACGTTATCATTAGAACAGATGGATGGATTACTATCAAACTCAAAACTTGTATGTATTTTGCAGAGCCAATGAACTGAGTAGATGTTTGGGGTCATGAGGTCAAAGGTCATGGGGCTCATTATGTATGCAAAAATAGCTTGTGAACGCTTCTCATTAGGACTAACGCATACATGCCAAATGTTCAGATTAAAGAGGAACATTCCTCTTTTTGGGAGAAGAAAATTATCATTTTAATGCAGGTGTTCCTCTTCCTGTACAAATTTGTCTGTAGTATTGAATAGGAGAGTTAGGATTGTTCCTCTTTTTTTTGAAAATAGCATAATTTGTACAGATTTCTGATTTTCAAATGTTGGCATGTATGCTAACGGATGGATTACTATCAAACTCAGGACATGTATTTATCTTGCAGAGCCAATGAACTGATTAGATTTTAGGACGATTAGATCAAAGATCAAAAGGTCATGAATGTATATGAAAACAAGCTTGTAATCACAGTATTCTGAGAACCTGTTTATGGTTTTTAATACGATCAAACTTGAATTTTAAAAATTGATTCTGTTGTGGTTTGTAAAATCGCTCTATGGCGGAGGCATCATTTTCGACTACGCGCAGTTGAAGGTCCATCTAGTTTTAAAGTGAATATCCCCTGAAAAGCATTGTTTTTAAATGCCCTGATATTTGATTACATGTTATGGCCACCGTACATGTTACGATGGTACACCTCCAACTGGTTGCATCACATATCCCGCCCCTCAGTCGCAGACCAGTTTTGATCGTAGTCAGATCGTAAGGTGTGGTAGCCTTAAGCAGTGGCGGATCCAAAGGGGGGCCTGGAAAACAACGTGTAAAAACACGTGATTTTTACGTTTTGGGGGGATGGGCCCAAGGGGGGGGGGGGGGGTGCAAATTTTAAAATTTCTGAGGGCCAAAAAACAAAAAATGTGCTCACTACCCCCCCCCCCCCTTCATTAAGATGCAGCAATCAAGATGTAGTGCATTTTTTCTCATTTTAGTGATTCCAAAATTTCTCGGTATACACCAATTCTTGTGTACCGTTACTACATAATCAAACCTCGGTTTTGCTCAGAGAGATTCTTTAACAATAGAACTGCATGACCTGGGGGGTGTTTCACAAAGATCCTATTAGTTGAACTTAAAAATTATGGATGGCCGTTTGTAGCCTTAAAATAAAATATATTCAAAAGCGAATATTCAAGCATTTTAGACTTTTTATAAATTCCACATCAAGAACATGTAATCTCCTTGATAATATAAAATATGAATGCTTTGAATCAACATTATATGCCTTTTAAAGATAAAGACCAGTTATGGTTATGCGATTGCATTGTGAAAGAAACATTGTGGAATCGATCAGAAAAGGTTGATCATCTAGCATATAAGTATTGGTGTGTACTGCAAGGTTCTGGTATCATCAAAATGATAAGAAATTTGGCCCAGTCTTCATAAAGTTACAAGCACTGTACACAGAAATATATATATGGGACTACGCATACGTGCGCAACACGTGTGTTTTTATCTCTCACACACCAATAGATAAACTAATTTACCAAATATATCAATTAGTAGGCGGTTTCCCGGCAATTTTTTTATCATCATGTATTATTCAAAACATATTCTTTCACATGATTGGTAATACATGTAAGAGCTTCCATTTCATTTTTTGAGATTGGGGCGTTTCCAATACTGGCCTTTACCTTTAAAATAACTTTTACAAAATACTTTCATGAATGCTAACTGCTTTCCATGATTGTTAAGTCCAACTTAAAGTCGATCTTAGTCTTTGTGAAACACCTCCAGAACTCAACTTTATCTTTTAGAATCTATATTTGTTGCACTTGATTTGATCTTGTCAGACATCACCAACACCATGATCTGTGGCACCAGGCCGGTCTTCAATGAAACAGTTGAGAGGATCGTTGGAGGCGAGGGCTCCGACCTAGGAGAGTGGCCTTGGATTGGATCACTAAGCCGGGGTGCTACCAATCATCAATGCGGGGCAACCGTCATCAGCAGAGAATGGGCTATTACTGCAGCACACTGTGTGTAAGTAATAATAATCTTTTAAAGTCCACTCCAAATTTTATTAAGTTAAACCGAAAATGGAAATTCTTTTTGCCCAATTGATTGTGAGCCCTTGAATGTACTAATAGAAGTGTAGCCAAAGGATAGGGAGATGATTGGCACCAACACCCCTCCATGAATAATCAGAGAAACAGACGTTTTAATGAAAGTGGACAAAAATAAGAAAGTTATAAATATTTAAAATTTGTAATCACTGTACGTATGGGCACTACCCATTGGCTTAATCAGTATTGTGACTGTTCACATTGATTTAGTGATCTCCTAAAGTGTATTTCAAACATTCATAACTCCCTTAAAGGTACTATGTCCCATTTGCAGGCCAAAAAAATGAAAAAGTTAAATTCCAACTGCATTTGAAAGATAATACTAATTTAGAACTTCCCTAAAAAAGGTGGGGCTTGAAAATGTCTTCAAGTGGGAAAATAATGATTATTGTCAAATCGACTTTAGGGCTATAGAGCCCAAAAGTAATAGTCTTGATTTTCAGACATGGTCATACGTTTTATACTGCACAAAGATTCAATCAGTTTAATCTTGGCCATCACAAGAAGTGGGTTATTGATGTAGACAAATGCTCATGTACCCTTTACAACTCTTTTCATGTATGTTAGTACCAAAGAAGAAAAAAAGCCAGTCAGTCACTCAATAGTGTCTGACAGTGAAGTCTAGCAAGTAAACGGGTTTCCTTGCATAATTTGAATATGAGGACACTGCTAACGTTTAAATTTCACAGATAGGACATACATGACATATTCATAATTCCTGCAAAGTTCTACAGAATTTGAGGTTGGCTGCAAAAGGGACATAGTACCTTTAATATTGGTCTAATTTATTTCAAATTTTTGCATTTTGTTTCTCTTCTTGTTCTGCTTTTATACAAATTGAACTTGTTTCAAAGATTCTATTAGTGCCCTTTAAAGAATTTTGATTGCACACAAAAATCTGTCATGTACAAAGTGTCAATGCATTTGCTGTTGGTGCCCCCACTTGCCACTGAATTGAACATGCTGGCTATACGCTCATCCTCATTGCAGTACCATAGCATGTAAAAGAAAGCTTATGAAAATGAAATGATGAACATACAACACTCTTGTATTCATTTACAGAATGAACAAAACTAAGGTTTTTTAGTGTGATACAGTGAGTGCTAATATACAAATATACACTGTCGTGAGAGGATCCGGTTGAAACTATGGGCTCAAGGTACCTGCAATGCTGCAAAATGGCACTATTGCAGTCACCGAGGGCCCACAGTTTTTTAATCCAGAGACTCAAATAAAGGCAGTGTATTTTTGTTTTATATACTTCATTCATATATGCATTGTTCATTGCTTGGTTAAAGATTTTGCAGTAAAAATCAAAGAATTCAAACTACCCGCTGTATATAGCCATTCCTGTCGCCTTGTCATTATGGGGATTGAAAATTCAGCAAGCGTACAGGATTTCAAATGCCTGCAGCAGGCAACTCCCGTGGTGCCACAGCACTCACGCCATGAGCCGCATGACCTGAATAAGTTATTCTGCTTGATAATAAATTACCTCTGCACCTCTGCGCGTCGGGTCAAATCACAGGGCCGACATTGCAAGCCCTAAATTTTGCAGTGATTACTCATGCATAGGATGTCAACAGAATGTCGTATTCTCATACTCAACGTCAAAGTTAAATTTACTTTGATACTTTACGCGCTGCGACATGAGTACTGTGTTAAGTTTTGCTAGCCATAAATAATACTTTTTGCAAAATAGTATTTTTGATCAACACTTTTAACCAATCAATGAACAAGAATATATGTATGACGTATATATACAGTATATCGTCGTTCTTATTCATATTAAATTGCCTTTGATTCTAGTGGAGCTTTTGACACCATCACCGTCGGTATCATCAGCATCTCGAACGGCAACACATCGTACCAACACACATCGTCGTTGGAGATTACGTCTCATCCAAACTTCACTAGCACTTCTGGTGGTGATGACATCGCTGTGCTCAAACTTGTGGATCCCATACCCGCGTTTAGTGATTTCCTCAGACCCGCCTGCCTGGCCACGGTCGGGGATGAGATTAATAACTATAAGACTTGCTTCATAGCAGGGTGGGGTGACACGACAGAGGGTGAGTCTATGTGCATGCAGTTTTAAGATTGAAAACACTTTCATCATATCCCGAATCTGAAAGCAGCTCATATTTTACCCAAGTATGTGTGTTATTTAGGGTATGCGTATGCATGTTCCCTCCCTTTTAAAGCAACCCCTGAAGTCTGGTGTGTAAAGTCAATGCAGACCAATTTTTTTTTGTTTATTACGAGCCGGACTTCGTTGCGTGAAAAGTACCCCTTTACCAGAGATTTTGGGAACATGAATGCAGTCCCTCCGTTCCCGGGGGGGGGGGGGGGGGGGGGGGGGGGGGGGGGGGCAGGCTTGCTAGTCGGCGTAAGTTAATCCCTGCAGCAGTAAATATCTCATGTATATTTCACTTACACCATTAGTTGTCCACACCCTCTTACTCAGACCAACTTGCCACGATTAAGTTAACACAACCTTCCACCGACCAGCATAACTTCCGGAAGTGGTGGCACCTACACTAGTATACCTCAACCTACCTTCTGCATAAACCGTGCAAAATCTAATTTTCATTTTATTTTAACAAACAACCCTCGTGAAAGGTCACAGATACTCCCGAGTGTAAGTGAGAGCATCCACACAGTTAATTACGCTACCCCTCTAGTCGTGTTAGCTTGTTACTCCTTGATAAATCCAGGAGTAAATTGGTCAAGGTAAAGGTAGGCGTAGCAAATACGACTATTGTTCAGACGTTCACTACTCCGACCTTTACACCGACTAGCTCTTAACCCTGCCTTACCCTGGTGTAAATTGCCATCGTCTGAACAAGACTTATAGCAAGCTTGTATTAAAATTGCAGGATATGTTGAATCTACAAGGACTACTTGTTGAGTGATCTCTGGAATTTTGCCAATTTGTCATTGCATAGATAATAATCAAAGTCACATTTGTAAAGGGCTCAATACTCTGTTTCTAATCCCTTAAATTATAATTATTACCATGGTCATTGGATTCAATTGCTAATCCGCACATATTAGTGTACACGCTCCGCTTCCTGGGACAAGTGGGGAGTATTCCGGCCAGGCGCCATTTTACAAGCACACATAAGCCAATCAAAACACAATAAAGTTTGCATCCTACTGAACACAGTCTAACAAAAGGAAAGTACTTATCGATCAAAAATAGGATTTTTTTGGGGGAAAAGAATACCGGTAAGTTTTTTGATCAGTTGGGGTTAATTGGCAGCTCTGTTAACTACAGGAGCCATCCAGCTTCCATTGGTGATTGGTAATTAAATCTGAATTTAATTTTTTTTTTTTTTTTTTTTTCCCACTTAATGTTTTGAAGGTGGATCCATTTCCAATGACCTTCAGCAGGCTGTTGTAGGACTAATACCAGATGAGTATTGTGGCAGTGCCTACCGGAGCTTCAGGGCCGACTCCATGATATGTGCTGGCTATCATGCCGGTGGCGTTGATACATGTCAAGTGAGTTCAGGCATTCAAATATATATATCACTTTTGGAACCTTTTGGTTTGGTTCGTTTTTCTGTACATCTTGCTACTTGTCTCTGTACTTTATGTTTAAAAAAATAATGATAGTAATAATAGTAATAATAGTAATAGTTATAATGATAAAAATAATGATGATGACAATGATGATGATGATAATTATAAAAATGATAGTAATATTAATAATGATAACGACAACTAAAACAATAACCCTCATCATCATGATCATTATCATAAATATTCATTGTAAAATTTCTATACATATTCATTCTACTCTGCACAACAATGTTTTTAATTGAACTATACTAACATGTACAATTTGTCAGGTAGTTACCATTGTCTATAAAGAGGTTGTTGTTAGAGAAAGTACTTTTATGAGAGGGTTATACCTCTCGTTGATCTCATGGGTGGTTCATTATTTGAAAGTTGTTATAGGTTGGATCATTGTACATTTTATTAGTATTAGGGATAGTTGTCAAGGAGCAGGTCTTTAAAGCCCCACTGTCCTACTTGTAGCTACTTGCTCCCTCTATATAGAAAACAATGCCTAAGCAGTGCCTGTTGGTCCCCCATGATCCTCCTTTTTCTTGTGTTGATGAGATAACCACCTGTCAATGACCTTCCTGGGTGGTCTAATCCCTCCTGGCCAAACTAGTACAGACGGGCTTTAATAGTCAATGGCCTAAGGTTTCAGCTGTCCTGAAAGGGCAAGGAGGAAGATATTGACCAAAGTCAATTGTCGTGTGGCTGGCAGAAGGACTTAAAGGGATCGTTTAACAATGTTAAATCTGAGATACACGGCCCTACGCGTTATCAGTGTCTGTGATATGGTGTAATATTGAAGCCCTAAAAAAATTGCGCTTCAAAATGATCAAGAAGTGCCTCAAAAAAGTAAAAATCTTTGAGTGACCGGTTTTACCATACTCTTTTCCCCCAATAGCCTGTAGTGTTATGAAAACCGTCAGGCGAACGGTTTTCAAAATTTGTAATTCCAATCACAAATATCTCGATAATCAGACAAGCGATCGGCTTGTAAAAGTCATGGGGTTCCTGACTGACCTAAAGGTTTATAATTATCATTGCATCGTGAGCTAAATCCAGAATTTTGTTTCAGAATCTGAGACAAAGTTACCGGATCCCTTTAAGTGCAATAACCCCGTTGTGCTAAATGTGGATGCGCACTATTGCTTTAAAGGGACTTGGTAACATTGTAAAGATGAGAGAAAATGGTGCTAAGGTAGTGACTTCAATGCTAGATGTACAATTAAAGATAATCTGAAATTTTGAGTGAAAAAAAGACTATTTTTAACGATAAAAAAAGGGAAAAACTGATTTGATCGATACCTTAACTACATTATTACAATTTAATTACATTTTAGGTGAAATCGTTATAAGGCAATGGATTGGCTCTATATACCATTCCAGGCATTTAAGTGTTGACAGATTTTTAAAAGCCTGTCTTTTGTCTTATTTTCATGGAAAAATGGTTGGGAAAATTCAAAAATGGTTGGGAGAATTAACTGTTAATCACTGTTAGAGGGTGTTGCACAGTGACGCCTTCTTAGAAAACCATTAATATCTTTGTGGTTTGAGATTTTTTTTTCTCAGGATTTTGTGCATGTTGGAGGGTTAGTATAGTAGAAGGAAGATATTAATCAACCTTCAACAATGTTACAGAGTCACTTTAAAAATACTTATTTGTTACAAAACCAAAACCATCCATTGTTTTCTCTTTAATTGTTGATAATGAGAGCAATCCCTGTCATGTTTAAAGGTGTAGACCAGTTTTGGAAATGCCCCCCTCTCAAAAAATGAAATGGAAAATCTTATTACCAATCATGTGAATGAATATGTTTTGACTAATACGTGATGATACAAATTTTGCTGGGAAACCGCCTACTAATTGATATATTTGGTAAATTAACATATCTATCCGGCCTGGATAGATACTGCGTAGTCCCATATACATCTTTCTGTGTACAGTGCTTGTAACTTTACTAAGACTTGGCCAGATTTCTTATCATTTTGATGATTCCAGAACCTTGCAGTACACTCCAATACTTATATGCTAGATGATCAACCTTTTCTGATCGATTCCACAACGTTTCTTTCACAATGCAATCGCATGACCAGAACTGGTCTATACCTATTACAGTGGTACAGAGCAATCAAAACCATGGAAAGAGATACCAAAAATTTGCTTCATGGCATGAACCTGTGCGCGTCTGCCTTCCCGACGACAAACTCTATACCATGCCTCAACATAGAACATAGTACAATAGAACACTCTCTCATCCACTGATGTTTTTTTTTCCTGTCTGCAGGGTGATAGTGGAGGTCCATTGATGTGTGAAGGTGAAGACGGGAGGTGGCATCTTGTCGGCATCACAAGTTTTGGCGACGGGTGTGCACGTCCCAACAAGCCAGGAATATATACCAGGGTCTCTCAATTCATTGATTTCATCAACTCAGTAGTTACTGCATTAGCTGCATAATATAATCAGGGATGTGAGAGTTCCGCGTTTCCGCGAATTTCCGCGTTTTTAGATCGCCCCGTCGCGTTTTTATTTTCTCCATTGAAAAAATCCGCGTTTTGCCCCAAGACAACTTATTACTTTAAGGGTCTGCGAATGCGAGACTAATACAAAAGCAAAAGCGCGCGCGCGCGCCTGCTTCAAAGATAGTACAGCGCCTGCATCGAGTATTGCTAGCTCAGCGCGCCGCGTGCGCCGGGCGTACCGTGCATTTCGATCGCTATACTATCTACGGTACGGTGTTTGCATTGATTCACATGTCTTCGTGCAGTGTGCTATTGATTTTTGTTACGATATTTCAATCAGAATCGGCGTTCTCTTTTGGAAATATGTATTACTTTCAAAGAAAATCTGTGAAATATGAGACAACATGGCAACTCGAGATCGGAATTTTATTGAGCGAGGAACGAAATTGGACTCGGAATCATTGGAGGAAGATAAGCGGGATCCACTGGTTAAAAATCCATGGAAATGGTCTTGGATGGACTTCACGCACAAAGATCAAAAACTTTCTCACTCTTTCCGTCTTGTAAAAAAAGCTGGCTACGCCGTGTGCGTAGTGTGTGATAAGGAGTGCAAATATGGTTCTCGTGGACGAGTTTCATTGACTGATCATTTGGACTCTGTTGCACACCAAAAAGTTTTGAAACTGAGAGCAGCAAATACTTTACTTCCAGGTGAGTTTACAATTGTATTTTAGAAATTAGAATCGCGGACCCCTCAAAATCCTTTAACTGATCAAATTGTTTTCTTGTGTGTGTGTGTGTTTTTTGTTGTTGTTTGTTTGTGCTGTAGGCCTATGCATTTTTATAATTATACTGGAAAGTTTTATTAATAAGACTGGTACATTCAAGTTACATGTGTCAAATCATGTCATTTGAATGGCATCAGTGATTTTGCTGGCCAGTGCCTAGGGGGGTGTTATGCTGCCCAAATTTTCATGTGATGGGTGTGTGTGTGTGTGTGTGGGCAGGAATTTGATTTGTTCATTTCTACATATAAATGTTGGCATATATTGTCATGCATTATTTCGTACAGAACATACTTATTTTCAAAGAATTTGGGGTGAGTACAGTGATACTTGGGCAGGTGCATGTATATGAATGTAACCTTGTTCATGAGTTTGCCTTTTTTGTATTTATTCATTTATTTATATATTTTTTTTTGTTTGTCTTGTAGGTCAAAAACAACCAATGACTACTACATCAACATATGGAATTCACCCCATGTTCAAAAAACAATTGGATAAGCATGAACAACAGTTGAAAGGTGGACTCTCTGAGCCAAATGTGTCATTGCCCGACAGACAGGCATATGCAGAAGCAACCATACTTGCGTTTACAGCTGAACATTCCCTGCCATTTTCAATCGTGAATGATCTTATTCATCTTAACCAAGAACTTGCCAAAGATAAACAAGTGCTCGAAAATTTATCAATGGACAGAACTACAGCTTCGTATAAGATGACCCATGGATTATCAAAAACATTTCATGAAGAACTCATTGAGGATTTGAAATCCTCTCACTTCTCACTGAATATTGATGAATGCACAAGTGAGACAAATCAACGCGTTGTAACTGTCCTAGTCAGTTATTTTTCAGAGAAGGAGAACAAAGTAGTCACAAAACATCTGTCATCTTTTAAAGTAGTGACCGTAAACAGCGAGACTCTGTACAATCATTTAGTAGCTCTATTTGATAAGTATTCCCTTAAATGGGAGAACTTGGTTTCTATTTTGATGGACTCTTGTGCCGTCATGCGCGGTTCAAAAAGTGGACTTGAAACACGCATTAGAAGTAAGAAAGCTCCTCAGTTGCTTGACATAGATGGAGACTCATGCCACCACGCACATAATGCTGCAAAAGCCTTCTGCCATGGATTTGATAACTACATCGAGGGACTTCTCAATGACATCTATACTGATTTCAAGTGGTCCAGTGACCAAAAAGAGGTCTTGCGTTTCATCTGTGATGCACTGGGCATCAAAGCAACAATTCCAGAGCGATATGTGCCCCATAGGTGGCTTTCTGTATACGATGTTTGTGTAGATACATCTCGATTGCTAGATGCTCTGATACTTTTTTACTATCCCTTTTTGTCTGGATCAGACAGTTCAACTTATCTCCCAGTTGTTGATAGCATGTATCAAAAACATTCAATCAGTGAATCAGTAAAGAAGGAAATCTGTAAACATCAGTCTAAAATGTCAAATAAGACAAAAACAATGACCCAGGCTGGAAAAGACCGTAAGAAGAGGATTGTGAAGAAGCTGTTCCATACCCCGAGTAAAACCAAAGTACTTCTCCACATTTACACCTCCATTCTTCCTATGCTCAAGAAGTATGTCCTGTATTTTCAGTCTGTGACACCACTTGTCCACAAACTCAATGACAAACAGCAGGATTTACTGAAGGACTTTCTTGTATGTTTCATTAAACCTGAAATCTTGAACACACAAGCCTTGCATAAAGTAAATGTGAGTGAGGAGAACATACTACCTGACAATGCGGTGTTCCTCGTCAGGTACATCAAGGAGAATTTACAGGGACCTGCTGCAAGTGAACTAGTGAACAAGCTAAAGACTGCATATCTGAAATGTGGTCAAACCTTACAGAGAAAGATGCCAGTGAACAACAAACTGCTGAGGTGTGCTTCAGCTATTGATCCAGCATGTAGAGGCCACACAATCACACTCCAGCGCTTACTCCAGCTACCACAATTAGTGGCATTTGCTCTGAAAGATGTGCAAACTCATGAATATGAGAAGGAAGCAAGGCAGTATAATACAGACAAAGAAATTGTTAATACAGAAGAGAGAATAGACATATTCTGGAGTTCATTACGAGAGAAATATCCAGTTATGACAAGAGTGGCACTGGCACTGGTTAGTTGCTTTCATGGACCACAGGTGGAGTCATCTTTCAGTATAATGGGGAATGTTCTAAACACTGAAAGGCCCAACTTGCACATTGAAACATTTTCATCCATACAAACAGTGAAGTATGAGTTAACAGCAAGTGGAAAATCAGGAATCAGATATTTCAGAAGAAAAAATTACCTGAAAGATCAGGTAAATCCCAAACTCTGCAAGAATATGAGATCAGCATACAAGTCATATGTACAGGAAAAGGAACACAAGTCTGGAATGTCACAAACTGTACCCAGAAAGTCTGCTTGTCCTTCAAAGAAACAAACTAAGGAGAAAGCAATTGAAGATGCTGACAAGGCACGGGTGGAGCACACACATAAACTGATGAAGAAAGTGGAGAAAAGGAAATCTGAAATGCATGAACTACCTTCTAGTAGCAAAAAAGTACTGAAAAAAAAATGACTGGAGTAAAGAACTAGCAAATGAGAAATACTTAGAGCATCAAATACTTAACTTTAGGTACGTTAATCATTTTTTATTGTAGACCATAATAGAAGATGTTTCTGGATTTGGTATCATATGGAATGGTGAAGAAATTTAGTAAATGATGCTCTATGTACTCTATTATGTATATTGTAAATAATATGGAAAATTAAATGTTTAAAACATTGTAAAATTATAATCTTACCCCTATGAAATAGTGTTTTCTCTACATTTTAAAATGCAAAAACCTCTGGTTTCGGGGGGCTTTGCCCCCTCGACCCCCATTAGGGGCTTTGTTCCTGGACCCCCAGCCATTGGGTATGAGTCTGCTCGCTACGCTTTGCAAATCTCCTCTTTTTTTAGTTTGCTGCACTCACATCCCTGTATAATAAATATTCATTTTTTTAAAATGATGTACTAAGTTTGCAGCTCTGTTGAATTACCTAAAAATGAAACATATATTTAAACAAAAAAATAGTCTTGTAAATAAATGCCGGGGGGGGGGGGTTACTGAAAGTATCTGTGCATAACAAAGCCCCCTACGCATACTCGCTTATTTGTCTGTTAAAAAGTGTAGAAATGTGAAGGGCACTTCACATAGATCAATTATTTATTTCCAAAATGCAAAATCCATTTATGCAATGTATACAATGTCTTTATGTAAGTAAATTCATACAAAATTGAATTATTTTTAACAAACTATTAAATATATATATATATATATATATTTACACTAATTTGAATGGTATTTTTTAAACTACAACAAAAGAATATAAATGAATTTGTAGAACATTATACTTTTATATACATTTTTAAATTACTAGAATTACTAGGAGAACTATTGATATAGCTTATGAGAATTTGAATTGTTAGTATAAGGGAGTTTACAGATAGCACATGGTACAAATGACCCCAAATATCCACAGATCTTTTACACATGTTGAAGTTCCACTTTGAGCATCTTAGAATGATAACTGCCAAAGTCATAGATGTGCTTTATGAATACCTTTTGTTTGCCCTCTTGAAAAGAATACTTCCACCTGCGTATCTTAGAATGTACCGTTGGTGCATAAATGAATAATGATACATAACTTTCATGAGCGCATATCCAGTATTCATATCTGGTGGGTTTTACCTTTTTGGTACAAATGGCCTTTATTTGTAACATGTACATAGATTACTAATTATTACACCTATCACTTTGAATTTTACATTTGTCCTATATTTATCAACATTTTACCATTTGAAAATACATGTTTTCATTAACTCATATCCTGCCATAAGGCGGCATGCACGCTATCGTTAAAGTAGGTGCTTTGTACACGCGAGCACGCTATCGATGGGCTGCTTAATTCACGTGAGCGAGCCACAGCTTAGCTGCTTTATTTCATTTCATTTCATTTATTTTTCATATTTCTCATGTTACATATCAAATAAGTACAAATTGTTTTTTTCAATAATACATAATAAATAACAAAGATAAGTGGTCAATATGGAGTACTGATTTAACTAAGAGAAATATGATGGGACCTACATGAAAGCAAGCTTGTAAAGCTGTAGACCCCAATGAAATAATTTGTGGTAATAAATGGCCGAGGACGGATATAA